ACGAGATATTTTGCGCTTGTACATATATGTCGTGACGCTATTACTTATCGCCAATCGCATATAGTACCCAAGTATTCGTATTAACGCAAGCCGACACGTGAATCCATAATCAATATCAATAAAGAATTACGCGACAAATACATTATGTATAAACGCGTATTTTAATTATATCATCTAGCAAAAAATCGCACATCAAGCGAACGGTATAAAATCAATACCGGCCAAATAGACGCGTCGTTAAATCATCGAGAAAGCTTAAAATAGAATAAACACGCGAAACAAACAAATAGGATGTCCATTACTAAGAGAGAAAAGAATTAGAACCGCGGTGGTCGCAGATTGTATCCGCAGTTTGTACCGATTGTGACTCAATGGACCTTTATGAAATTCCAACAACCGCGAATCTACCTCGTCTCTCGCTCTTTCGTCCCACGTTTTCGCTCCCACGCTGTCTCTGTACGTGTCTCTGTACGTCCTCCTCCCCTTGCTTCCCTCTTCCCGTGTTATCCGCACCGTTTCACGTCGGTGAACAAATTATTCGACTAATTTCAACCGATAACTGACAGTGATGCGCGTTAATATGGAAATATCGTGGCTCGTCGAATGGACAATGTCCTGCCGATGTAAAGCTATGGATATGCATCGCTCACTAATACAACCCAGTTAACAAAGATGCATTTAATGCGTAATGTGAAGTAACAGTCGATCAAAATAGGTAGGATTCGCGTGATAGGAAAGCTAAATCGTCAAATTAAATGTCGCATTTTATTCGCTCGGACATTAAGAATGTACAACGGTATCGAAACGGTATTCGTACAAAAGCATTATCGACGTGACTGCAAACTCATCAGCGCGACGTGAATATTTTAATAACATGCGCCGCAATTAATATTATCTGAATTATTTCATAGCGGTCTTTTAATCATTGCATTAATTAATACTACTGCCATATGCAATCTATGTAAATCAAACGAAGCCTCAATAATATTCCGCCGGGCAACAAAGCGTTAAATAACCGAATTGTGATAGGATGGGTATGAATATGAAATGCTTTGCGCGAATTATAATTTTCGAAACGGTCTATTGTTTGCAAATTGAAGCGGGTGTAAGAACCATAATAAATGAATTGTGATTTATGAATTATCCTCGACGAGATAATCGGAGATTACTTACCGCGGTAACAATTCGTTTTCGTTCGCGCGATCCCCATGAAAGATGAAAGCAACACGCATGCTCCCGCTAAAGCGACTCGTGCGAGTTCAAGGTGAGCGGTGACACGTAAAAAAGCGATCCGTTTTACCGGGCACGCTGCAGCCGGCAGTTTTCATACGTAGCCATTCGTTCGAGCGGACACCACATTAAAATTTGCGATGTAACTTTTTCCCTCTCTATCTCGCGGGCGAGGAAAACCGACCACGACTCGCAACTCGATTCCCGCGAAAAAAAAAGAAAGATGTTTTCTCGTTTTTTCATCGACGCGCCGCGACTTTCCGCGGTCTCAAGTCGTTTCAGTTTTATACGTCAACGATTTCTCCAACTGTCGCGTTAGAAACGAATCGCGCAAAAAAATAAACTCGCAATACGTACGACGAATTAATTGAAGAAGCGCGCCACGATGAGACGCAGGCGAATTTAAACGAGGCGGCGACAAATGAGCTCATTTTTCCAGCGCGATTTTCGTTCCGCAACCATCCGGAGAAGCAATTTGTGCCGGCATAACGCAAATTGTCGGTGAAACAATTTCATTGGATGCGGCATAAAGGTTTGCCGCCGTGCGAAACAATAGGAATAGCTACGCCGGTATCGGATTATTCGACGTTTTCATTATAGCCATTGACATCGCCGCGTAAAATATCGATTCGCCGCGTTCTACGGAACGCGCGGATTTCTCCGCTCCGTGCATTAATATTAATTTTCGAGCTTTTACATTCCCCCTCGCCATTCGGCACACTCGTAACGTAGATTAATTGAGAAAGCCTGTTACCGAGAAGCGAGACACACAGTGGTTATTAATGGCATAACAAAATATCGAACGGACGAAGCGCGCGGCCGAAACCTGACAAATATATAAGACGCGAAAACTTTCGAGGCGCGCGAGTGAAAGAAGCAGCCGAGATTTATGGTCACTCACTACGGAAACATCGTTTTCCATGAGGGGGACGATTTTATAATACGTTATCCGATTAATGGCGGGACGAAGAAAGTGCGCGTCGTTTTCTACGATGTTTACCCAATTACAGGGAATTAATCAGCATCAAAACGATTAATTGCATCAGTATTCGACCGGTGCGGCGTACAAAGATATTTCATTTCGATGAAAAGGGACGCGAGTTTTTTTGTCCGATATCCACAGAAAGAGAAAGAGAGAGAAAGCAAGCTCCAAGTTTCCCATTCGCCCGAAGGAACCTGTCATTAACGTAACGAACGATTCTTGTTGTTCACCGCGGCGAAAGCGTTTATTTCCACGTAGCACTAAATCTAAGCTTGCTTTAGGAGAGCGGGGCGCGGTAACGACGGCGTACAACAGCTCGAGGAAACAATCCCACGTTTTCTTTTGCTCGTGCCCGGGTAAGCCGATGCCCCGAGCCACTAATCACAAAGGAATTACTCGTTGGAAAAAGCCCCCCCTTTAGTCGAGGAAGATTGTATCCGCGCTATATCCGGATATCCGATTCTTTCGATCCGTCGCGAAAACGAGAGCTGCTAACATCGTTTAGGCGCGAAACGCATCGCGGATGAATTATGAGAGAGAGAGAGTTCAACGTCGTCGCGATTCATTGATTTAAGAGCATCGTAAAGCCACTTGCGTAATAACGCGTCACGAAACGGTCGCGAGAGAGCAATTCTGGTGGAAGCTTCTCGGAACAAGTTGAGGGGAATTGTCAAAGGCGATGGCTCGCCGAGACAAACGGAGTCGGAGTTACAACGCGGAGGTCAGCCCTGGCGACCGTCGTTTAAGTGCCTCGTATTTGGCCTCGTCCGAGACTACTACACTCCGGAGGGTCGCGCTCCTCTCGTAACTCCGTTCGTAAGAGAAGACAAGCGTCCCGTAACATTACATGCCCAGTTTACAGCGGACGCGAGATATGCGAGTCGCGACAGATCGCGCGAGGGTGCCCTCAGTGTCTGCGCACGAACAATGGTGTATGAAACGAATCGCGCTTCCCGCGATCCTTACATTCGCGACCTTTGTTCGTTCTAGACGGGTCCTTGTGTAGATCGCGAGATATCTATATCTGCCGTGATTGATTTGGCCGACCGATTCCGCGCTATCGGCTGACATTATCGTACCGTAAGCCAATGCAGGAACGTCGTCTCGAGAGTGGTAGGTATGTTTGATTCATGGACACGCGATATTGTTCTCGATCGTGTCGCCACAATGCTCGCCGATGTTTCCGGTCGGCGCTTAGTACCTCGGCCCAATGGATGTCGACCCAAATCGGAGAGCTAAATTACACCGTGTGTCCACATCCGCGGGTACAGGAGATTTGTGGTTTGAAAAAGCTAATAGGGATGGGGCAAGATGGAGGTTACGAGAGGATGTGGGTCACTTCGGGGGAGGTACAAATCGCGAAATTAATAAACAGCTTTAATTAAGCGGCTCGATGCGAAAATGTTTCCGATCAAAACACATTTCTGAATAACAAACTGCTAATAAACCTCTTCATTTTTATCGCGCGATACGTGTTTCGGCCACACGTGGCAAAAATTTCGCACGCACTCTCGAAAGATTCATCTAATAAAAAAATCTATAAATATGTATTTTATGTAAATTTTATAGTTTGAACAATTTCAATAATATAAACATAAAATAATATAAAATCCATCCTCTCTTACAACAATCCTTGATAAATAACATTTCTGTTAGAGATATACTGCGTTTCTTTAATCTCTTTTCCGTGATCTTTAATTTTCCTTTATCATTAATATAGAAGCGGAAAAGCGTACGGGATTGTCAAGTAAATCGAGCTATGAAAACAATTTTTCACTCTCGAAGGATCTTTAATCGAAAGATTTATATAAATATGTATTTTATGTAGACTTTATATAATAGTTTGGATAATTTCTACAATATTGTAAAAAAAAATATAAAATTTATGTCTCTTTTAAAACAATTCTCGATAAACATTCTGTTAGAGATATACTGCGTTTCTTTAATTTCTTCTCCGATTTTTAATTTTCCTTTATTATTAATACAGAAGCGGAAAAGCGCGCGAGGTTAACGACAAATAAATAGAACTGTGAACAATTTTTCACGCACTTTCAAAAGATTCTAACCGAAAGATTTATATAAATATATTTTTTATGTAGAGTTTATATAATACTTTGAACAATTTCTATAATATTGTGAAAGAAACATAAAATTCATATCTCTCTTACGCACACAATAACCCTGGATAAATGACATTTCTAGTATTTGGATATATATTGCGTTTTTTTAATCTCTTCTTTGCAATCTTTAATTTTCCTTTATCATTATTAGAGAAGCGGAAAAGCGCGCGGAAGGTTAACGTCAAGTAAATAAAGCCGTGGCAAAAATTTTTCACGCCCTTTCGAAGGATTCATTTAATTAAAAGATTTATATAAATATATATTTTATGTAGAATTAATACTTTGAACAATTTTTATAGCACTATGAAAGAAACATAAAACTCATGTCTCTCTTACGCACACAATAATTCTCAATAAATTTCTAGTTGATATATACTGCATTTTTTTAATCTCTTCTCTGCGATCTTTAATTTTCCTTTATCATTAGTAGAGAAACGGAAAAGCGCGCGGGGACGCGCGAGTTTAACGTCAAGTAAATCGAGCATCCCGAGAAGAAAAGCAGTAATGTACAAGCGGTAAACGCGCCGTAAGCAACCGAGCCGAGCATCTTCGAGGCGCCAGGCTGACCGATAATTGCGTCTTTCGTTCTTGGGATACTACGAGAGAGACGATCTCCCCGCCGCGACCTTCCGCAAGGATATATATTTCGAAAAGGCGGTGTTACTTACATACGAAGCGCCCTTTCCTCCATCACGCTCTCGGATCCCACCGCGCGTCGACGTTCGCCGCTCGTCGAACGAGACGAACCATGTCCATGGACCTTCTTCGCTCCATCGCAGCCCGGTAAAAGCTTGTGGGAAAGAGCAACGTGAAACCACATCATTGTCTTGCGGCAACACCCCGGAAACACTACGAAGCACAATGAAAAATAGTCAAGTTTAATACCATCGAAACGTTTACCGCTACTTTCAGCGCGGCTTAAACTTCGCGTCGATTAACTCGCAGGATGACCAACATTGAAACTTTTAAGTATCGTATATAGTGCGACAAGAATTTTTTAATTTTACTATTGGTCATTCTGCAAGTTTCAATCAACGATTTAATTTAAACGTTGGTACTTAGTACAAACGAACATAATAACATATATATAAATGCAAAATGTTTCTAGTTGTCCGCCTTAATCTCTGTCTAGAGAGAGAGAGAGAGAGAGAGAGAGAAAGAGAGAGAGACACGGGAGGATCTTGAGTAATTTAAAGGCGATTGTTTCTTAGGAAAAAATTAATTCGCGATCTTCTCTTCCTTGCGGCTTTTTAATATTCAACTTGAAATAACTTCTTTTAACTAACGTTTATAAATTAAAATTCTGTTCAGTTAAAATTAGTTGAGAAATAACTATTACACATTAAATTTCTGTTTCTCAAACTTTTTGTTGTATTAAAGTTGATGCAAATTTTACTCGATGCAATTCACATAAAGAACAAAAAAATTCAGTTCAATGTTGTGCAAATTAGGATTGTAAAATTAGCAAATTGCGTTTTTTCTCTTCAATAATTTTAGCTCGCTAGTTCATATGGGCGAGCCGTTGTATTGCTTATTTATAGCGCATGTAAATTTTATATATTAATTAACAGCAGAGTCTGTCGTAATATCGCTCTACTGCTAAAACATTTTATTCATTTTGCAAAGTGTACACATAACTACGGTAATGAAGTCGTATTCATATTCGCATGGGTAGTATATTTACGGTCTCGGTAACAGAGAACAGAAACAATGCAAAAACTACGCCGGTTTGACCGTTACACAAACTCAATTACTTCACCGTTTCGCATTCCATGTTGCGACTGAAAAAATGGCGTATTATATTTGTTTCACTTCCTCGTTTTATCGAATGAACCATCGAACGAACGATCTTTTCTTTTTTATTAACGTGAGAATATACTCTAAAGCATATATTCTAAAAAATTACCAGTGCCTATAAGAGTAAATATTGAAAAACCAATGTATATCTAACTTTACCATTCATAGCGAGCTGAAATTCGCAGGGAGTGAAACGCAGCCGGCATCAGTACACAAGCACACCGCCACAGTAGCCGAAGGGTTAAAATTGGCGAGGAGCGGGAGGAACCAGATCGCGTGGCGCGGAGCGGACGAATACCAACCTAATCGCGGCGCGTGTGTGCGGGCGCGGAATTAGTTCGCGGTGTCGCCACGGGTCACGGCGGCGCTGCGCCGCCGGCGCGAACCTCAGTCCGTCACGGGGTCGCGAGGGGTACGCATTACTCTTGTCGATTGGCCGTACCCGGGGGCTCGGAACGTCCGTCGTGACGCGCGAAAAAGCACACGCGTCGCGTGAGTGACCGGTCGCATCTGACAGCTCGCACACGGCGGTCAGCGATTTTTCTCACTTGACACGCGCGTCACAATGGTGTTGTGTGTAACGGTGAGAGATGACGGCGACTTGTGAATTACGATAATCGGCCGACGATCGGGACGGAGGAGAGTGACAGTGCGGGGTAGGCAGAAGAGAGGAAGGACACACCGGTGAAGGAGAGAGAAAGAGATTGAGCACTGCGACACGATAACGGATTCTGCGACGTACGCTGCTGTCATTAAACGTGAGCATTTTTTTCTGGGTCACTTGTGAATATATATGATAGTCGGCAATAATCCTTTGCGCTCCGAATTAATTTGCACACATATAAGTCAATATTAAGTATTTATTATTCGTTTTAATCTTTTGTCAGCGTATAGCCTTTAATACAAAAAATGCAATATACTTAATACAAGATAAAAATTATTGAATATTATATCGTTTGAAGTATGTAGAAAATGCCAAGTGCTATATTCAGCTTATAAATATAATCTCGAAGATCGCAAAGAATTACGTATCATTGCCATATAATTTGAAATCATTTTTTCATAGAGCTACTCCTACAAATTCATATAATTGATACCAAAATATAATATACGTTTTGCATGTTTCAGTTTAATTAAAAAAAAATGAACAAGATAAAATGTAATCTATCTTGCTATATAAACATATGCACGCGATATACGATTAAACCTCTTTATTTTTCTTTATAACTTTTCAAAATAATTGTATGTCTGCAAACACGATAAGATTGTAATAAAAAGATTTCGAATCTTAGATGGATACTTTCAAAAGTCATGTCCTAAAAGAAAAAGATTAAATAAACAGTATTGCTATCCTTTCCTATCCTTTTTTCGAAGACTTCCCACAATTTTTCGAAGCAGCGTAACGCTCCAAAGCACATGTACATTACAACGAAAATGAACGATATTTCCTAAAGGCAAATGTTCATATTTTTACATATTTCTCGACAATATAAAAAAATGCAGACTCGCAAAAAAGACAAGCAACTCCCTTTATCTCAAAGAGCTCAGCTGTCACTGTGACAGATCGAGGCACGTGTACATGTGATCGAGAACGCGCGCGGCTACCAGCTATTGTATCGTACACACACGACGCAGTCTGCGTTCTATTATCGCTCCATGTTCGGACCAATCGTGCATAGTACATAGGTCTTGTCCTTTCGTCGAGTCACTCACGATATCACCGTAATGTGGTAACCATGCGTCACGCGTCTCTTTCGATGGCGAACGCGCGATGCGATGGTCGGCGCTCCGAGGCGCTTTGTGCCGACAATTTCTCGGCAATTGAGCAACTCCACCGTCACGCAATTAATAATGCGGCCTCGCGAGATAGGGGCGAGATAAAGCGGACGCGCTTACGTTATCGGGCCTGACTCGGAGAGTTAAATGATCACGATAGTGACGATGCGGAAAGCTCATCCCGCTGCATTATCCGCAATTTCACCATGCATTATGCACAAACGATTCACGACGTGTCACACGCGATTCACGTGCGCGACAACTGCATTCATTCATCGCATGTGCTCCGCAATGAATGTCACTTTCTTTCGACGAAAAAATAAAAAATTTGCAGCGAAATATATATTCGTTACCACGTAACTAAGGAGAGAACCCGCGTTAAGATTTTCGAGAAGCACTTTGCGAGCGTTTACCGGAAATCTATGAGACAACCGCATGGAGATCTACGCCACTGGTTGCTTCCGTGCGGTAACTAATTCTCGTCACGTAAGTCCATGTGCGTGTGTGTCTGTATGTGTGTATGGGTTACACGTCACATTCTAGATAGTATGGTCTCCCCACGCCGGACGTCCAGCTGATTACTTACTGACGCTCGATTGTTTCGCGATATTCTATACCCGATTTCGATTTATCGCGGCACTGGAGTCTGATAATGGCCGCCGCGTATTTTTCACCGTATTATTTGACTCCACGTAATTGTCGGTCATAACGTTTTCACGATAAATTCGCTGCGTAAATAATTAACTTGGCGCAATCGGCGCGTTACGTTTGCCCGCATACAACGCGCGCGCTCCATCAAAATAGGTTCTCTTTGTGAACAAACGCGAATTGTACGCCGAATGTGTAACCGGACGTATATTTCGAAATTGTGTAAATAGCACGTAGAGCTCGTTCCCGTATTAATATCGGGCGCGGCTATGCTGCACAACCCGTTGAATAATTCTATCACTTTAATTACCGAAGTTTATAGCGGAAATCAGCGCGATGGAGAATAATTAAATCTCGCGAAAAGGCAGAACGCACGCGCGAATACTCGCCTCGCGAGTCCGCTGCGCTTTTCTTCGATGATGTACGGGGTTAGGCGGATTGTTGTAAATATAGCATACGGACGGACAGTGACTAAAGGCGAGAACATCAATCAGCAGTCGCGAGCCATTGTGCTCCACGAGGCTGATAATAAATAGCGCCTTCCGTTCTCGTAGGTTATAATTCCTCTTCCCGATCGCTCTCGTGTCTTGTCTCTCGTCGCTGTCTTTTTTCTCATTTTTCCCGCGCACACACGCTCGCACGTCTGTATGTGCCGCGAACAGGTGTTTAACTATCGGCCGCCGTTCCTACAGCTCTGCAAGTACCTTTATTGTAGCCTTATTGTACTTCTTGCTTCCTGCAGATCGCTCGAATCCGTACAATTACACGTGAACTGCGACCGTAGGATAGTACCCACAACTCCCCTGTCTATCGATTAACCATTAACGAAATTAATGGTACCCGTAGACAATAGAATAGCGCTATAAAGCTTAAGAAAGCGAATTAGATACAAGACACCCGTGCAGATTGCGCTAGTCGCCCGCGTGTTTATGTCGTTCTACGTGATCTGCTTTCAATGAAGCGGTAACAAAAAGATACTATCGCTAAAGGTATTACTTTAATTTATTTCGCTTGGCAATGTGTACATAGAAATCATTTAAAATATCGAAAAAACCTCTCTCTCCTTTTATCAATAACTTTCCTCTGTCACTTCTCCATCAACATAAAGAATATCAAATAAACATTACGACCTACTGGAAAACTTTACGTATTTCCAGAAATTACATCTCGGCAGCGAGCTACTTGGTGACTCGGCAGCCACTCATTTTATAATGGCCGGAATGTTAAACAAGCGAGATGACAGTGCTCACTGCTGGGAATGCTACACTTGACTATTTTATGCGCCGAGCTTCTCTACTCCGGCTTGAGAGTATATGACGCTATCTCGCATGCGCTCTCTCTAGTTCAGTTTCAAACTTTAATTAAAAAGGTGAAGTCGCAATAAGGTCCTTCCACCCCTCGGGCTAAACCATACCCTTCCCCACTTTGCGCACCACCACCACCACCACCACTCGCTCGCCCGTCCGTCAGGAACCTCGTGTCCGAGAAGCTATTTTAATTTCATTCACAGGGAATAAACAGAACAATGGAATTAATGTCGACGGGAGCGAGCGTGCACGTTCGCGCGTGCCTTTAATGCATAGGCAAAGTGTATATTTCCGGTACAAATGGCATTCTCCTGGCGGTAGTTCATTTTCAGATGAATACGGACATAATAAAAGTATAAAAAGTATTAAAAAATGAAGTTCGTTAAATCAGTTCGTTGATGTTACGTTTTTCGTCTCGCGTGTCGCGTGTCGCATGATCAAAAGTAATTGGTACTTTTTAATTATTAAATAAAACGCAAATATTGGGAGACAGTGGTTTCCGGCAGAGAACTGTCAATCAAATGGTAATGCAATATCTACTTCGTTTTATGTTATTTAATTCAAACCAGGCAGGTTTTTAATATAATTTTGTAAAATATCGGAATAATAATATAATATACAAAATTACTTTGGTCTCTCGTCAAACAGGAGCTAAACGAAAATTCGGAAAATTCTGCGATGAGTCTTTTCGGTTGAAGGAAAACCGACTCACTCGAGTGGATGTTCAGCAAACCGCGGGATTGAGGTGGCTGTTACCAAGGCGCGCCGATCTTTGATTAAGAATTCAAGCGGAATAAGTCGAAGTCTCTGATAAAAGGTTGCCGAATTTTCGATAACTCGATATTTCACAAGTTCCGTCGAAAATGGGGATTAATGTAGCATTTTTCAATAATATATTATAAAAATATATAAATTTCCCATTAAAAGGCAAACATAAAAATTATTAGTTGCGCGTCATACTGTGTATACGAAAGTTATATAAAATGTAGTATTTTACATATAATGGAAAAAATTCGATGTAAAGTCCTTTTCATATAATTGCTAATATCTGCCTGATGGTTTTTACCGTGCAATGAATCGTTGCGTGATTCTTCTGAGGTCCTTTTATTCAATAATTATTTCATATTAATTATAATGTATAATATTTTCATGTTCATATTACATTTTATATTAAAATATAGTAATTATATTATTATTATAGCAATTATATTATTATTTATACTTTCAATTTTCTTTTCTTATTTTTGACATATTCCATTCCCTAAAAATATTTAACTGATAAAAGACAAATAATGTAAAAATAATTTATTAATAAAAAACGTCGCGTCTCAAAAGTAGTAACAATTAATCGTTAATACCGCATTTTATACTGCCAGTATTCATTTAGAGTCAGTACAGTCAAAGGAGTATTATGCGATGATTCACTAGTTGATAAAAACTATCGTAGCAGTTATTAACGATTGTATCTGCGCGAGATTCATCTCTACGGAGGCAATTATAAAGTCGGCCGACAAGCATGATATTGGATCACATCGGCGGCACGTAATCGCAATCACTCGCAATCCAATGCAACATTTCACCGATGTCATAAGCTACATTACGGTGTCATACCGAAAATTAATTTAATCTCAAGCCTAGAAAATATTTATCGCCTAATCAATCGATATTCCGATCATAAAGTGCCAATGCGTGTTACATCATTACGTTGAAACGTCTTCCAACACTCATATAATGAATCATCTACTTGTTCCGCATGCGATCAAGAAATTACGCTCTCATTTTCTACTCGATATCATCTGTATGCGATTAACGTATCGATTTCTACCGACTAGAATCAGATATCCCAACGACTATCTTCATTTTATTCGCAAAGCTTTTGTAATCCATAATGGAGACTTTTAACTCATTTCATATATCCACAGCTTACATTTTATATAAGATACGATCGTAGTAATAATATATTTATTATATATATATCTCAGCCATCTTTGGCATGTACACATCTGACGATACGCATATCCTACAAT